AAGGAAGAATCTGATTGGGCCAGTATCCTGTGAAAGAGTGGCAGGCCTTACTGGAGCCAAATTGGAGGCTTCGTCTAAACACTTTTGTTTAGCATCTACTCTAGGTGAGGCATCATGGACATCCACATCAAAATAGCCAAGTTTCCCCCCTTTTACCAGAGGTACCACGGCTTGATTTATAAAGTGAATAGGAAAAACAGCCTGATACGTGGAATAATGTACAGCTGTCAACATTGATTATGGAGATTAAATGTAATAATGTGGAAAGAGTTTAAAAACCATATGCGCCCCAAGAGTGATTCCTATTATAATAATGTAATTGTAGTTTCTGGTTTTGTCACAGTAAAGCACAGGTCTCCGGAAAGAGAGTCCGTGTGTGTCTGCCTTCTTCACTAGAACAGAGGCCCTAGGAGGCCGGGACATCCTTTCCTGATTCTGTGACATATGTGATCACTGAGACTGGGTCAGAATAGAAAGTAGTCTTGATTGGCTGTGTTGCAGGAATGTAAGTCTAATGAAGCAATAGCTTTTACAGGTGACAGTGGACCAAAGGGGACAGAGAGGTCTTTTGCCACATAAGTCAACATTAGGAACCTGAATTCTGAAATACATGCAGCCAGAGAATGCCACTGCTATTCTCTTTATCTTTGCAAGTCACGGGGATATCCTCTTGTGTTTGGGAGAGCCTAGGGATTTTTTGAGGCTTGGAAGAAAGCTCTTAAGTAGATTGTAAGATGAAAATTCTCATGGTAATTCTTCTTTTCTTCCTTATTCAAAATTGTTACCATGATGCTCTTAAGTCCCTCTAGCACCGGGACAAAGAAAGCACATCTCTGAATTATAAACTACAAAGTATGGAGAAGCATCCTTCTCTTTCTTTAAATAGTATCTGGACAAAATAATTGTGGTAATTTGAGCATTTTAAAAATATGGACCTTTAACACGAGGTTTATGTTTAGAATTGCTGGGTATAATATGTTCTCAGTAATTCATTTGTCACTTTACAGTAAATTTTAAATATTCTTTGTCTATTTTAAATCATACTATTGCTGGTTTTGTTATCTGTGAGATCATGCAAAATAATAATTTACATTTTCTTTAGATGTCCATCCTGTTTTTATAACCTACTGAACCTGTTTTGTGAGCTGACTTGTAGCCCTCGACAGAGTCAGTTTCTGAATGTTACAGCAACTGAAGATTACGTTGATCCTGTTACAAATCAGACGAGAACAAATGTAAAAGAGTTACAATACTATATTGGACAGACTTTTGCCAATGGTGAGTAAAGTTTTTTTCGTTTTGTGGATTTTTTTGAGACAGAGTCTCACTTGGCCACCCTGGGGTTGAGTGTCATGGCGTCACAGTTCACAGCAACCTCAAACTCTTGGGCTCAAGCTATCCTCTTGTCTCATCCTCTTAAGTAGCTGGGACTACAGATGCCTGCCACAATGCCCAGCTAGTTTTTCTATTTTTAGTAAAGACTGGCTCTCTTGTAAAAGACTGGATCTCTAGTAAAGACTCTTGATCAGGCTGGTCTCGAACTCCTGAGATCAGGTAATCCACCCACCTCGGCCTCCCAGAGTGCTAGGATTACAGGCATGAGCCACTGGCCTAATGAGTAAAGTTTTAATTATCCCTCTTTTACTGCTGATATCAGAACAGTGGATAAAGCTGTTTTTCTTGTCTTGTCAACTGTGTAGAAAATCACAATTTTTAGTTCCACTGTAAGAAATGAGAGTTGTTGCTTTGTTTGCATCTAGGACTTTGAACTACAACCTGTAAAGCTACCCGGTGTGAGTGTTTGCTTTAACTCTTTCTAACTTTAAGTTCCCACCTAGAAAATTTTAGTATATATGTATAAGGTTACAGCTGTACGTTTTAGTAGTCATTGGAACTTTGGTCATGAATTGTGTCTCTTTATAAATTACTGCAAGTCTGGGGAGATAGAACTAGTTGGCAGCGGAGAAGAGGATGTTAAGACTGAAGAAACAGGGTACCACGAGGAAAAGTAAACAGGTGTAACAAATGGGATCCTCCCCCCCAACAAATAGAAATAATGGAATAATCTGAAGAAACAGAGTACCACGAGGAAAAGTAAACAGGTGTAACAAATGGGATCCTCCCCCCCCAACAAATAGAAATAATGGAATAATCTGAAGAAACAGAGTACCACGAGGAAAAGTAAACAGGTGTAACAAATGGGATCCTCCCCCCCCAACAAATAGAAATAATGGAATAATCTGAAGAAACAGAGTACCACGAGGAAAAGTAAACAGGTGTAACAAATGGGATCCCTTCCCAACAAATAGAAATAATGGAATAATCTGAATGAGGCCATATGTTTGTCGAAAAGTACTGAAATGAGAATATTCTGAAAGAATAAAATGCTATAGAAAATGAATGATGAATGGATTAGAAATAAAACCAATCAAATTTATAAAAATGAGAAGTAGTCATGAAACAGATTAGTCACTGCTGAACAAAAAGTGTCCAGGAACAATCTACAAAACAACAGAATAAGAATTTATTGAAGTTTGATTATAAGAGCAACATACAACATTTAATTGTAGTGCCCAGATTAAAAAAAGTAACAAATTTAATAGAAAAAGGTTACATTCACAAAAACAAGAAAAAGAAAGACACCTAGGAATCAATCTTCCGAAAAGAAAACAGATGTGACATAAAAGGCAGCCTGTCTGAGTGGAATGAGATCATTCCGTACAGAAACAGATCCTTAGAAAGCTGATACATCAGCAGGTGTGTGGTGACAAATCTTTGAGAGAAAGGGTGGACTAGTCCACAATGGACAGAGGAAAAACAGAAACCGTAAGTGAAAATATTTATTCATCCATGCCTGTAAACAGTATCTAGAGCAGGTGTGTCCAACTGTGGCTGAGGGCTGCACGCTGATTTTGTTGAGGGCCTTTTCTGCTTATCTGTGGTGTCAGATACCGAGAACAGTGTGTACAGACTTTTTCTTTTGCTCATCAGCTGTCAGTGCTCTTTTTAATGTGTAGCTCAAGATAACTCTTATTCTTCCAATGTGTAGGAGAGGGGGAAAAAAAGGTTGGCCATCCCTGAGCAAACAAATTCAGAGGAAAACAATGAACTGCCCTTTCACACTTTATCAGATTGGCATAAATGAAATCTAATTAATGCTTTTCCTTTGGGGGGGTTGTTTTAGTCTACATAATGGCAACTTACTGTATCATAGCAATGATATTTGTTGTACACATAGAAAGTAGTTATAATGGGTTATATACTGTTAATTTTCATTTCCTAGTCCCTGCTTGCTAGAAAATTCCCAAGATCTTTTTTCCCTAAACTTGAAGAAGATACTTAGACACTAGACACATTCATTTGTTCACATGTGACATCTGTCCTCAAACCAGTTTTCCCTATAAGTTTCATAACTCTCCAGCCATTTAGTCTCCTGCTGCAGAAGGGTTTTGGGAACCATTTCATTCACTGAAAAAATACTGAGGCCCTTAGCTTCTCCCTCATGATCCTTGGTATTCTCGCTATGCAGGGGGACCAAGACTTTTAGAAGGCCAGGCAGGCCAACTCATGCCTATAATCCTGGCCCTTTAGAGGCCTGTCAGGGAGGCCAGAAGTTGCAGACCAGCATTGGCAAAATAGCTTCTCTACAAAATATTAAAAAAAAAAAAAAAAAAGCTGGGCTAGGCAGTGCATGCTACCGAAGTGCTACTCTAGGTAGACCTAGCTACTTGGGGGACTCGAGGCAAAAGGATTGCTTGACCCCCAGGAGTTCAAGATTGATTGAGCTGTGATCGCACCACTGTACTCTAGCCTGAGTTACTGAGTGAGACCCTGTGTCTTAAATCAAAAACAAAGTTCTAAAGCAGCGGTTCTGAACCTGTGGGTCACGACCCCTTTGAGGGTCGAACAACCCTTTCACAGGGGTTGCCTAAGACCATCCTGCGTATCAGATATTTACATAACGATTCATAACAGTAGCAAAATTACAGTTATGAAGTAGCAGCAAAAATAATTTTATGGTTGGGGACAACAAAAAAAGAAGAAACCGAATAAAAGGGCCGGACATTAAGGAAGGTTGAGAACCACTGTTCTAAAGCTTTTGTGAGAACTACGTGGGATAATGTGAGCCGTTCCCTTTCCAACCTATTTTTCACTCATTAGTTACTCGGAATCAGGCCTGGCATATTATTTGTGGGGTTATAAGCCAACTTAAAGGAAAATGTCCGGTCCTACCTGCAGTGTTTGCCGTCTGGCGTTCCAACCTGCTCTCTGTATGTGGGTGTGGCACATACTGAGTCCCATATCTCTATTCAGGAAGCCTTTTGTAAGCTCTTGCCTGGAACTAAAGCAAACATCCTGTCTCCGTCTTTTCCCCTTGGGATTCCTTTTCTAGCAATGTACAATGCCTGCCGGGACGTGCAGGCCCCCTCAAGTAACGAAAAGGCCCTGGGACTCCTGTGTGGGAAGGACGCTGCTGCCTGCAATGCCACCAACTGGATTGAGTACATGTTCAATAAGGACAACGGACAGGCACCGTTCACCATCACCCCTGTTTTTTCAGGTGGGGCAAAGACTCCAAATTTGATGTGTGTTTGCCAAGGATTCATACTATACCAGAGAAAGATAAATTCAGAAAGCTAGTTTGTAGAGTTCCTTTCCAGTAAAGGGTAACTAAAGCATTTATCCTGTCCTAGTTAATTTAGGAGGGCTGGGGGTGGAAATGGAGGAGCAGAAGACATTGCCTTCAGATATTGCTATTGTAACTGAAAGGATGAGCTGTGGAAAAGGGAAGAAGGGGCTGAAAAGCTGACAAAGGTCCTTCCCAGAGCGTGGCTATAATATTAGCCTAGCTCTTCAGAATGGAGAGAAGCCCAAGGCATGATTGGAGGTTTACCTCAGATATCAGTGACAAAACTCTATGCACGAAGTTATTGGGGTTACCAAGATTTTACAGGACAAAGCAGCAAAACATAACTTGATTAAGCTAAAATTTCCAATTCATTTTATTCCTGAGTTATATAGTGCAGCACGCTTATCATCAGTTTTAAATATAACATAGTACGAAATTGTTTTTTTAGCGAGACTTTTACTCAACCCAATTCCTTCCTGTAGATCTTCCAGCCCATGGAATGGAGCCCATGAATAATGCCACCAAAGGCTGTAATGAGTCTGTAGACGAGGTCACAGGGCCATGCAGCTGTCAGGACTGCTCCGCCACCTGTGGCCCCAAGCCACAGCCCCCACCCCCTCCCGTTCCCTGGAGGCTTTTCGGCTTGGACGCCATGTATGTCATCATGTGGATCACCTACATGGCATTTCTGCTTGTGTTTTTTGGAGCATTTTTTGCAGTGTGGTGCTACAGGTAAGCGTCATCCAGGGCAAAAAGAGCAAAATGACTTAAGTGACACTTGTAGCTTTCGCTTGAGCGAACCATTTTTGTGACTTTTTGGTAAGTCTTAACCAAATTAGAACAGTAAAAAATATCTGCATTAGTACCTTTCCATGGATTGCTTATGCTGTACCGCTAGTAAACAGTCCTGTTTAGACATTTAAACCTTTGGAGTTAGTTTTATTGATTTAGTCAGAATGATGTGTGAGTTAAAGCACAAATGCTCTAACCACGCATTCCTTTTTTTTATTTTAAAATAATTTAAGACTTACCAAAAAGTTACAAAAATGGTAGACTTTGTATATTTACCCAGCTGCCCCGAATGTTATGGCTTCCATATCTCATAATATGTTTATCAAAGCCATGAAAATAACATTGGCATGATAATCAGCTAAACCATAGACCAGGAGTGTCCAACCTTTTTTCTTTCCTGCTGTACTTTGGAAAAATAAGAGTTGTCTTGGGCCACACATTAAATACACAAACACTAACGACAGCTGATGAGCAAAAGTACAGGTCCATGCATACTTTTTGCGATATCTGACACCATAGATAAGCAAACAGTCCTCAGATAATCTGCATGTGGCCACAGCTCGGTTGTCCCTGCATAGAGACCTTGTTCAGATTTCACCAGTTTCTCTTGCAGTGCCCTCTTCCTGTTTCAGGATCCCAGTTGCATTCACTTTTTGTGTTCTTTTTTTTTTTTTGGAGAAAGAGCCTCAAGCTGTCCCCCTGGGTAGAATGCCATGACATCACAGCTCACAGCAACCTCCAACTCCTGGGCTCGAGCGAGTCTCCTGCCTCAGCCTCCAAGTAGCTGGGACCACAGGCACCCGCCGCAACACCCAGCTATTTTCTGGCTGCAGCTGTCACCATTGTTTGGCAGGCCCAGGCTGGACTTGAACCCGCCACCCTAGGTGCATGTGGCTGGCACCTTAGCCACTTGAGCCACAGGTGCCAAGCCACTCTTTTTGTGTTCTAGTAGTCCCCTCCAGTTTATGACAGTTCCTCAGTCTTTTATGACTTTGCCATTCTTTCTCTCTTTTTTTTTTGGAAACAGAGTCTTAAGCCGTCGCCCTGGGTAGAGTGCTGTGGCGTCACAGCTCATAGCAACCTCAAACTCTTGGGCTCAAGCAGTTCTCTTGCCTCAGCCTCCTGAGTAGCTGGGGCTATAGGCGCCTGCCACAGTGCCTGCAAGGTCTTGCTCTTGCTCAGGCTGGTCTCCAACCTGTGAGCTCAGGGCAATCTACCTCCCTTGGCCTCCCAGAATGCTAGGATTGTAAGCATGAGCCCTGCACCTGGCCTTTTTTTTTTTTTTTTTTAAGACAGAGTCTCACTGTTGCCCTTTGTAGAATGCTGTAGTGTCATAGCTTACAGCAACCTCGACTCCTGGTCTCAGGCAACCCTCTTGCCTCAGAGTTTCATTTTTAGTAAAGACAGGGTCTTGCTCTTACTCAGGCTGGTCTCAAACTCATGAACTTAAATAATCTGCCCTCCTCGGATCCCAGAGTGCTAGAGTTAGAGGTGTGAGCCACCACGGCCAGCCTATTTTTAACTTTGTAGTGGTAAATATCTTGAGGGGGAGATACTTTGGGACGCTGCTAATATTTGTTTGTCTTTAAACTGTCACCCACTGATTTTAGCATCCGTTGATGGGTCTTACCTGCAGTAGTCACAGGTGTTACTGTGATGTTTGCCTGATGGTGATTGTTGTTTCTCACATTCCCTCTACATTTTCTAATTGGACCTACTTTGTACAAGGAGCTATCCCTTTATCCTTCCTCCCTCACTTAATCAATTCCTACATCATGGACTTTTTACATATTCTGAATGTATCTGTATTCAATATTGTCATTTATTGCTTAGTGGGAATGCCTTCTGGTTGGCTGCAGTGGTTTTCTGTTTTACTTTGTTTTGATTTTGAGATAAGGTCTCACTTTGAGTACAGTGGGATTATCGGACCTCGCTGCTGCCTCAAACACCTGGGCTTAGGCAATCGTCCCAAGTAGCAATGAGCACACCTGGTGGTCTTGGCCTCTGTATACCATTGCCTAGTAAAAAGAACCAAGGCTCCTTGTAGCAGGGGTTGATGCCAGGGAAAATATAAGACCAGAAGAAAACAGGAGCCAGCTGGGTGCTGTGACTCACGCCTTTAATCCCAGAACTTTGTGAGGCAGTGGTAGAAAGATCACTTAAGGCAGGAATTTGAGACCAGCATGGGCAACATAGAGACTTTGTCTCTATAAAAAAATGTAGAAATTAGCTGGGTATAGTGGCTCTCACCTGTAGCCAGCTACTTGGGAGGCTGAGGCGTATCACCTGAGATCAGGAGTTTGAGGCTGCAGTGAGATTCGATCATACCACTGCACTGCTCCTGGGCGATGGAGCAAGTCCTTGTCTCAAGAAAAAAAAGTAAGAAAGAAAGCCAGGATGAGGAGAAAGTAACCTTTTAATGGTATTATAGGAATGTCAATATAATAGCCTCATTGTAATCAAATCCACTAATAACACTTGCCATGCTTTTATTTTTCAGAAAACGGTATTTTGTCTCGGAGTACACCCCCATTGATAGCAGCATAGCTTTTTCTGTTAATGGCAGTGACAAAGGTAGGCATATTTGTGCACAAATGAAAAGGTTCCAATTATGTTGGCACGAGAGCATACATTTCCCCGACAAATGTTTGTGTGCCTGCTCTGTGTTAGGTGGTGGGCCAGAGCTGAAGACACATCTGAGATCCAGACAGACGTCCTTGCCTTTGTGACACTGACGTCTAGTCGGGGTGGCAGATCAGAACCAAGTAATGGAGTAGTGAAATGATTCTGGACTAAGATAAGAGTTGGGGAGGAGCAGTAGTGGGGTGGGGTCGAGGAGCTCAGTAGAAAGAGTGGTCTGAGGACTTAGCTCTGCGGGGGCTTGTGTGTGGGCATCCTTCCTTATGGGGTGGCAGCAACTAGGGTGGCTTCGCAGGCAGACAGGTAGCTGAGGGCTGGGGGTTCTTGTGTGTGTCCACTGATGGGCTCATTCTTACCTCATGTGATAGCAGCTAATGCTCTACCTGTTCCGACTTTCAGGAATATCACGGCTCTTAACCTCCACCCTCCCTTCCTCTCCCGCCCTTCCAGGGGAGGCGTCCTGCTGCGACCCAGTGGGTGCAGCATTTGAGGGCTGTTTGAGGCACCTGTTCACACGTTGGGGGTCTTTCTGCGTCCGAAACCCCGGCTGTGTCATTTTCTTCTCTTTGGTCTTCATCACGACGTGTTCTTCAGGCCTGGTGTTTATCCGGGTCACGACCAATCCAGTCGACCTCTGGTCAGCCCCTCGCAGCCAGGCTCGCCTGGAGAAAGAGTACTTTGACCAGCACTTTGGGCCTTTCTTCAGGACAGAGCAACTCATCATCCGGGCCCCCCTCACCAACACACACACTTATGAGCCCTACCCCTCAGGAGCCGACGTGCCATTTGGACCTCCACTTAACGTAGAGATTTTGCACCAGGTAATCTGCTGTTTGCAGAAATAAGTCAGGGGACCCAGCGGTTTGCCGGTTTCTATGTGTTGACCAATTTTGCTTGATGTGATGTGGAGTTAGGGCTGAATGTAGTGGTGTAGCTTGCAAATCTTCAAGTTGTAACAGCAAAGGTGCTTTTAACTTAGCATTTGAGAAATGGAGTGGTAGGTGTTGAACTTAAAGCAAAATGTACTGCTGCCACTTTTTTTCACTTCAGAGAGTAGGTCTTGTCTTTTTTCTTGAAATTGAGATGAGCAGAGGAAGAAAGACTTCAGTAGCACTTCTCTACTGAAACAGAATGTATTGGTGAGGAAGTCATCTTAGGAATTTGAATTTGTCCTATGGCAACTGAAAGTAATATGCAGGGACCCAAAGGAATGAAGCCCTCCTTTCTTGCTGTCCTGGGAACTGAGGAAGGACCTGCTGGATTATCAGTGATCCACCTTGGAGGAATGAAATTACCACTGCCTGAATGTGGGCACCCAGCCTGCATTTGGGATAAGATCCATCCCGTTCCCCTTAGAAAGGCGTGTGACCTTCCTATTGCCCCTGTACCCCCATCTTTTTTAATGAATGATGCACAATCACATAGTTTTTCCTTTAAGCATTGCTCTTGTCTACAGAAAGCCTGAAATGTTGAAAAACACCAAATGCTCCCAAGACTGCAGTGGGATCTTTTCTCCGGGAAATGATTGTTGCATTCATCTCAGGAGCATCTTCTCCGTTAGGAAATATGGGGACGAATGTAATGGTTGTAGTACAGAGCGAGGCAGTATGTGTTGTTGCGGGAAGACGGGAGTGTGTTGGGAAGACCACACATCTTGCTCCAGTCTCCCCACTGGGCCCTCTTGGTCACTGCTGGGGAGGGCGAGGGAGGGAGGATGTTCGTGTTCCTACATTGAGATCCCTTCTCATCATGGTATGTCCTCCCCATCTCTCTGGATGCTGCTAACCGTGGTCCTCATCCCAATTGGCTGTAAAAGTGGACCTTTGGCTTAACCACGTATCTTACCATAGTGTCCCTTAATCCTCCCGCCATCTTAGGAAATATTTTCCCCAAATGCTCTTTATCTTCTGACCCTTCAGGGCAATACTGGTTAGTGAAGACCTGAGAGGGAAATCTGACTTGTTTCTGAGTTTGCTTATTTTTGAAATCTTTCAGGTTCTTGACTTACAAACAGCCATCGAAAACATTACTGCGTCTTATAACAATGAAACTGTAACACTTCAGGACATCTGCGTGGCCCCTCTCTCACCATATAACAAGAACTGCACCATTCTGAGTGTGTTAAATTACTTCCAGAACAGCCATTCTGTGCTGGACCACAAAATAGGGGACGACTTCTTTGTGTATGCTGATTACCACACACACTTTCTGTACTGCGTACGGTAAGTGGCCTGAGATAATCATTCCTGTATTCTATTAATATTTGAGCAGGTACTGTTGCAAAGCACTGTTCAAGGTGCTAGAGACCCAGCAGTGAGCAAACAGAGGAAGACCCCCGTGAAGCTTACATCCTAAAGGAGGGAGATGGACAATGAACACATAAATATATATATGCTGTCATGGCAAGGAGAGATGATGCTATGAAGGGAAAAATAAGGCAGCATGGATGCCTGCACTAAAGGAAGGGGAAGGAAGGAGCTCCTGGATATCACAGGACAGGTGTTCTAAGCAGCATGAGCAGCAAGTGTAAA